CAGAATTCCCTCCCTTAGAACTTTGAAGCCAGGGCTTAGATGGAAATTTGTGTACATTTACTTATTTGATAAGTATTAATTTAGGAATATTTTATATTTTACCGAGATTTTTTATATAAAATCTCATTGATTTAAGCTATAGTCCTTTAAGTTTGTAATCATCTTTTTAATAAATAAATCAAATGGTCCTCAGAACATATGACATGAATTCTTTGTTCTATTATTTTCTAGTACTTAGTAGAGCCAGAACTTGAATTTGTACTTTCTGACTCTAACCTGATTTTGCTTTTCATTTTATCACTGCTGTGTCACATTAAGGTTAAAATTTTATAAAAATTTAGCCTGTCATTGTAAGTTCAGAATTTGTAAGACTCTGTTAACATTCCATGTAGGAAATAATACATCTGGATATTTTATAAGAATTGGAATAGTTACATAAAAATGATGCAAATAAATTCAATGTATTTTAGAATTGGTTCTCGAGAAAAAAATGAAAATAGAAAGAAAATGTAGGTGCCCGTTTTATGCTACAAGAATAGGTTTTAGGATCACTTTATGAGTAGTTTCTATTGACAAAAGAAGTACAGAGTGCCTAACTGAAGATTGAACCAGGATTAGGATTATGAATGAATTCAATTTAAATGAGTTGTATTTTATGTCTTCTTATATTTCAATTTTTTAAAACACAAATCTTTAATTTGTTCACTTACTTATGCCTCTACTCAAGTTGGATATGTCTGATGAGTTTGCAAAAAAGCTAAGAAATTTAATTTTTTATACCATTATGAAGGGAATTTATCACACTGACTAAGAAAAAAATTATCTTTTATAATTATTCACTTCCGGATGGGAAGTAACCATTATTTTCTATAATTTCTGTCAACACTTCTTCTTATTTATACTTGATAGTATAACATTAGTATTTTCATGCTAGTCCACACTTCACCTGTAAATATTTAGTATGGGTCTTTTTCCATTTAAAAATACTACTCTTCATTTCACCTGAAGAGAAATAAATCTAAATCACCCTGAAATATATGGTCCTCTAAAAGTAAATATGATGCAGTAAAACACACACACACCCTTGAAAGAGTATATATGATTTAACCCAAAGGGATTAGTTATGGAAATAACAATTGAGGTAGTTAGACTTCATTAACAGGAAAGAAAACATTTTAAAATTACAGGGCTATTATTTTTTTAAACAGCATTGTTCCTTAGGATATCCTGCTAAATTGTTGTGTTTGATAAGATTGGAGGTGGAAAGTTTGTCTTACAGAGCATCAATCTTACTGATAGTCACTTATTGATAAATGATTTGAAATATAAATGGAATATGAATGAAATTAAGAGGTGAGATGAGACTGAAATATCTCTTTTTTCATACCTTATAGATTTGGAAGTTTTAAGAGTGTTTTCTTCCATTTCTGCTTTCTCTTTAATTATCTATTACTATAATTAATGCTATATATACATATATATATATAGTTATGATTGATACTATAGTTAGGGCATAACTTATAATAAGGAGATTTTTTTTCTAATGAAAATATGCATCTATTTGTTATAATGTAATATGTGCTATTCTATTTTCCTTTAGAAAATTCTGTTGTTCCTTTATGAGACATGAGAAATCCTTTAAAGTTACTAACTGCTCTTAGTAATTTAAAACTAACAAGAGCTCTTTTCAGAACTGGTATACCAGCCATATATAACAGCTATATGTGTGTGTGTGTATAAATGTGTGTGTGTGTGTGTGTGTGTGTGTGTGTGTGTGTAGAGAGGGAATACTTAACAAATAGTCTACTAGTTAATGTAACTCTTGAAAGTGTTTCTTACATTCCAAAGAAGATGAGCCCTTTCACTGCATCTAATTTGCATCTCAAGTGTTGAGATATTTGGATTGAAGTATTTACTGATAAAATGAAGCAAAATAATTTAAGAATCTTTATATAATGGAGTTTGTAAACTTCAATAATCAATAACTTGGTCTGAAATTTTGTTTTTGTGGGACACATCCTTTTGCCACTATTGCCTAGATTTCCATAGTTCATTGGCATTTATATTTATGGAGGAGTTAAAACTTTGACTCAAAACTGATGTATGATCACTGTCTGGTCAATATGGAATAAACCTACACTCTGAATAACTGTTATGAACTTTTATGATAAATAATAGAACATTTAGAATTTTATATTTGATATTAGTGTTTTTCAAACTGCTGGTTTTTAAATTATTTTAAAAATTATTTATTTAAATATATTAGGTAAAATTGATTTGCATTACTGACTTATTGAAATTAAGGAAATTTAAACCTGAAGATGTTGTTCCAATCAACCCAAAACTGGGGTGCAGAGGAATTTTTTTACTAGTCTTGCAACTTTTCCATAGTGTTAATTATTTAAAAGTAAAATATTAAGGGGCAAAATCAGATGACATTGCCAAATGCTATAGTTAAGCAGAGAATATAGCATCGGGGAAGACAACTATTTTTTTTTTAAATGACAAAATTAAAAAAAAATAATATGTTCATATATGTAAAATTCAAAAAGGTGTTGTGAATTTGTGTTTCATCATCATTCAATCAGACCATGTGATAGTAAAACTTCCACATTGGCTGGCCTCTCAAGTTTTTGCTTTAATATTCTTAGAATATTTAGAACATTGAAGGTACCTTTTATTTCAAATAAACATATTCCCAATTTTACTGTCTTTGTGGGGAGACTAATAAAACTTTCTACATTGTTAATTAACATAAGATGAAAATTTTCCCTTACATAGTAAAAAAAAAAAGATTATTTGATCTTTGATTAATTTGTTTTCTTTTCAAAACATATTTCTATCATAATAATCACTTCCAATTCATGGGAATTCTTTCTACTCTAAATGAGACTTTGTCTTACTTAGAGGCTGAGTTAAAATGACTTTAACTCCATAGTAGTATCTCTGCTATGGAAAGTGATAAACGAATGAATGTCTCTAGTCATATCTATGTCAAATAATAATTTATTCACATATAATTGGAACTAGGAGAACCAATAAGAGCATTCCATTGAAATAGCTGCAGAAAATAAATATGATAATCTTATACAATGTTCATGTTAAGTAGTTATTGACTACACAAATGCATGTGTGAGGAGTGATTTAATGAAGGGATTCATACAACAGGCAACAGTAAGTATGAATGTATTGAAGTTCAATCAAATAGTCATGAGGATAATGGAATTTATAATCAAATGTGTGTGTGTGTACATACATATAATGCTTTTTTCTTAAATAACCTTTATGAATTGTGGAGTCGTAGACTCTAAAGCTGAAAGCAAACTCAGGTGGTCATCTGGATCTAAGCATTTCTTCCAGAGACAAGCAATTATTATCACTATGATCTATTAAGCTACATTTTCTTTAACATGTGACAGCTAAGGTGATGCTGATCTAAAAATATTGCTCTCATTCTTAAACAATTTCACATGCACATAGATGTTTAACAAGCGCCTTTTCAGAGCCATTATGAGAAAAACACTAGCAGCCTTGGTCTGGAGGAGTAATTTATGGCAGCTAGGTAAATGGTGTCCAAGATCACCTTGATCACATTAGCCATGCAGAAGCCCTACCCCTCACTGTCACCCTGGTGACAAGTGTGGCTAATAAAAAAAAAAAAAATAGAAGAAAAGAAAATGACAATGAGTACTACTTTAGCTGCTTACTCCATTTCTGCTTCCAGTACGTTCTGCCTCAGATCATCTGTCAGTAAGTTAACAGAAGAGGGAGTGAAGGAGAAACTGCAGAGGAGTGAGCCTTGAACTTGAGAGGAGTACAATTAATAGAAGGTCTTATGTCTGTTACTCCCCTCCCCAACATTTCTTTCCTTTTGGTTCATCAGCTAGAAATGTGAAAAGGTGAGGGAGATGAGTTTAACTTGTTCTGACATTAGAGACAAGGGAAGTATGGCAACTACCATAATATTTCTGCTTCAGACAAAGGTTATTGCGAAACATGTTGTGAGTTGGGTGTTATAATGAAAAATCAAGGAATGATCGAGGAGAATTGGTGGAATCAAATTATAGCCATAAATGCAGGTGTGCTAAAGTTTTTAGCTACTTGAGAAATTGAGAGATACTGTCAGGATTGTACAAATATATTGCTCTGATTAATTTTCCTGGGTGAAATAGGAAAATATTATAAAATTGAGAATTCTGCTGTAAACAAACTGTTCCCTATGATACATTAAACTAAAATATGCCATAATTTGTATCTATCAAAAATATAATTGTAAAGATATTTCAATAGCAAAGAACTATAGAAAGATCTTACTATTGTGAGAATATAAAAACCATCTGTATCTGAGCATCATTCTAAGTTGATGTTGAAGAATATTCAATAAACGAAGTAAAGACTAATTTATCTGAGGTTGTGTACTTGATTTTCTAATCTAACATTATGGTGGAACTTGCATCTTATTATCTTTTCCTTAGATCACTTTTTCATAGACAAATGCTATTTTTGTAATAGGAATTCATTCTTTTGTAGAGTCTGAGGTGTATACTTGAACAAAAATTTGATATGAAGAAAGGGTTAATTGGGAAACATGATAATATACAAAGCATTTCTCTTATATGATGCTCTAGAAATATTCTAGTGTCAATCCAAATAGAATGGACTAAAATGAGATAATTGGGAAGGTGCCCATAAACTCAGCCTGAATATATTATCACAACTATATATGAGATAATATTTGTTTTAAAAAGATTCTATGGCACTGTAAACTCAGTCTCATTAGAGACTGCATTTAAAAGGCTTATAAAGTTACTCATTAATGTTATCTTGTTGTATCTCCACAGCTTTTTCATTAAAGAAAATTCAGCAGAAAGCATTTTCTCCTGATAGCAGGAACCAATTTGCAATAAATGTTCTGGAAACCACTAGGGAAGCCATTACTGAGGTCTAATAAAAACAGACAAGCGTAACTTGTTCTATATTTTTGTTTCAATCACATACAGATGAGACCCCGCTTTCCACACCAACAGCAAGAGACAGCCTTGACAAACTTTCTCTAGCTGGACATGGACAACCACTACCTCCAGGTTTTCCATCTCCTTTTCTGTTTCCTGATGGATTGTCTTCCATAGAGACCCTTCTGACTAACATACAGGTAGGCCGTTTGTGATCTGGAAGATAGGAACATAGAATATCCACTTGCAGATTTTTCCCAAATGCACCCCCTTCTGCTTAATCCTTTTATGAGAGTGACTGAACCATGGTATTGAACTTTTTCAGGCGATTTAAGATTAAACTTACTGTATTCAGCGAATTGGTTTAGGAATGTTCAAAAATAGTGCTATGGCAAAATAAAAATTTAGATGAAAATGACATAGATGTTTTAAAAAAGGTTCTGCTTAAATGCTCTGGTTATTGCTTGTTAATGGGAGGAATCTAACTGTTTAAGTTTGTGTGATTTACTAAATGACGGCACACCAGTTCTAATAAATATTTAGTTATTTTTAAACTGCTGGCCTTCCAGTGAGGAAATGATATGTTTAGTCACTTAAAATATGTCTAATATAAAAGAATCCCCCCCCCCCCAAAAATCCCTTCTTTCATAAGTTTGTTTCAGTTAATAAGGTTTCTTCAAAGAATAGACTTCAAAAAGCCATACAAAACTTTCCACGGATTTCCTATGTAGTCCCCAGGATGTATATTTTACGTACAGTACATTATGAATCAAAAATACTTGCAGTTAACAATAACATAGAGCATGGAGCCAAAATATTAAGAGTGTTTGGGATAAAAGAAAGCATAATTTTCTTGCCCACACATGAAGTGATCATGTGGAACCCAGATGGAGATTTTTGCCATCTACACCATATTTGGAATCACTACTTGTGAGAATGTGCTTGCAGATACTGCATTGGTATTTATTTTTAATTTTTACTTTAACACTCCTTCCTTAGTGATAGTTTTCTGTACACATTTTCTATATTAAACTTTCTCCCATGAGAAATGTAATTAATTTTATTTACCCCTCAAAGGACACAGTAGAAGGCTTTTAATGTAACATATCTTCTCATCTATTAATATGGCATTTTTAATACTAATGTAATTAGAGTCTCCAGGACTGTATTCAACTTTAAGATTTTTTATATCTCAGTCATTGAAATAAATCATCATGCTAACCTAAACTTAATCAAGGCCAAATAGTTGATTGTATTTTAAAATGTAGTACTTCTTTAACCCCAAATTTGACCCATATTATTGTCTTCTATGAAATCATTTTTAGTGAAGTTATCCTTTGTTACATTAAATTCTTCAAAAAGTATCACTCAAATAATTCTGAATTTACTCTGAGAAGTAAGGGAACAATTTGTTTTCTTATCTATATAACTTCAGAAAAAAAATATGCATTCTATTCATATTTACCCTTAAACCAAAATTCTAGTTTCAACTGAGGAATATTTCTGAGTCTCAGCCACATAAACTAGCTGCCCATTTGAAGAGTGGCTTCACACATAAATTCTAGCATTACATGTTAATATCACATTTCTAAGTCAGTGCTATCAAATACTATTCATCCACCATCCCAGGTCAGTAATACCCAGTTTAGAAATGTCCTCCACATTTAGAAGTTTATGTTAAGCTGTAATCATTTATTTCAAAAAAAAAGTAAATAAAGGAAGATAAGAAAATCTCAATTCTAAAATGTACAGATTTTATACAAATAATTGATTTTATTATGGTATATTTAGATTCAAATACTCTCCAACCATAAGCCTTGAGAACATATTTTAGCAAGAGTTGATGATAAGACAAGACAAACTAGATTATTTATTTCTGGTACAAATCATCACAGAACATCTACAATAAGAACATTTCTTTTAAAATGTTTTACTTCCCAACTTAATATTACATGCGTGTATGTATATGTTTATTAAATGCATTTAGGATGTTTGCATGTTATAGGCATGTACATCTGTGTATTTCAGGTAAAACAGGTATTAAAGATCTCACTGTGTTTCATGCACAGTAATATACACACTAGATATGCATATGTGCATACATACAACACATTGGATTTGTGTTCGTTAATACTTCAACATATTACAAAAGGTCATATTTTATTATTGTTACATTTATTGACTTAACAGTAATAGCGTATGAAACCTAAAGAATGTCAAATAATATGATTAATTGGCCATACAGTATAAAATGTGGTTTTTGTCCAAATTCTAATTTGGGTAATCACATTCTGCCTACCTCAATTTCCTCTTCAATTTCAATTACATTTAATGGGGTTCTCTGCCTTCTGTTTTGAAATGGTGACATACTTTTTCTATGCTAAGTTTAAAAGTCCACGTATCCTTAAGAAATATTTTATCAAAGTAGCAATAAAAAAGAATATTGTTGAACTTTAGATTTTCAATCATACAATTCCAGGTCTGAAATTAAACATTTATCAGTGCATACATACTATTTTAATTAAGACTAGGATAATGGATGATATTTAAACTAAATGTATATAAATTTACTTTATTCTACAAGTATGACCCAAAGAACCTTTACAGAAATGTTTGAGATGATTGATTTAATATTCAATAATTTAATTTTATGATGTCCTACAATTCTCAATTTTAAAATTTGTAATGGCTGCTGCAAATGTTCCTTCATGACACCAGTATCAAAATTGAATTATAAATGTATATTTTGTGTTTTAAAAGAGGACATACAGAAAAACACTTTACTCGTATTTGAAAATATGCATCCAAATACCTGAACTTTTACTAGTTCCAGGGCTAAAAACTAGACTGTTTTAGAGATTTAAAATAATAACAAATAAAGAAATCTGCAGTAAAATATAGTGATTTCACTTTAGTGAATGATACAGAAGTGCTCTAGATTTTGATTAAGAGTTTTGTATGTTGCCTTTTAATGGTTACTCTTTCAGTCTGAACAATCTTTCATTATAACTTTTGCATGCAAACATGTCCCTGAAGAGACTTTTGGAAGGTTTTTGATGAGGAAACTAAAAATTTAGTATCAAAAATAATTGGATGAGATACTTTTAAACATTAACTACCATTTAAATACATTGTAATGAGAAATTTAAATGCTATTCTCAGCCTGAGCTTTCATGCTAAAACCATAACTAGAACCTAATTATATAGGGTTGAGAGAAAATACTTCTCATTGTTTGTTTTATCACAGGACTTTTTATAATAAATTTTAGCTATTAAATCAAGAATAGGTCATTAAACAAAAATTGGAAATATAAAAGTAAGTATAGAGAACATGCAATGTAACTAATTATAAGTTTATCATTAAAGATATATGTTATGAGGAGACATATGGTAGCAGTTTTGTTACTAAGGTTTGTCTAGGTGTAGAAATTAAACAATCAAGATAGGTCTAAAAAGTGTGTCGAAACCACAGTAAATTGTTTTAACTAGATTGACTCACCATGCCTCTAATAAACATAATCCAACTATAGTTGTAAGAACTAGTCTGTTTTTGTTTTTGAGGAAAGAAAATGAAGAATTAGACATGTGCAAGACCTAAAATATTAGGATTACTTCCATCTACTTTTCATATTTCTATGTAATGACAAAAATCTTATGCATTTTGATTTTAAAAGATTTTTTGTTTGCATTAGTACATAATTTCAAGTATAATAGAGTTAAGTTATAGAATTAGAAAAAAAAAGTTCAAGAAAAAAGTGAAATAATGAATTTACTTCAAAAAATACGGCTAGGGCAAGATCAGAGGTATTGGTTTTTACATGATATGTTTTTGTCTTTAGCCATGATTATGTATTATTCCCTCTCCTCCTTTGTTACTATCATTAATTTGTGAACAGAGATCATTAAAAATACAGTAAACTATAGCCACTATTCTAACTAAAAAAAAAAGCCATTACTCAGTTCAAAACTGGACTGTCAACTTATTTATTAATTTGTTATATGCAACAATGGCAATAATAATAATGAAGATAGTATTTAATTCAACTATCTTAATGTTGTAAAGGAAAGCATTCCTGGGTGTCTCCTCTAATCCCAATATCTTGCTATAAAACTACTTTTAACACTTCATCAAATTAGGACCATTTTCCCACACTAAACAGTTCTGCAAAGCCAGCTGGATGTCTTACCTAGGTATAACATCAGATCCCACAGGTTCAGGTTTTAGTCACACAAGACCGTCCAAGCCCTTATTTTAGCTGCCAGTGGACAATGTAGTTTTAACCTGAGTTTCTGACTATTTTGCACAACCCCTCTCCTTGCTTAAAATGAATTTGCTAAAACAGCCCACAGACTCAGAAAACATGTTATTTACTAGATTCTGAGTTCACTCTATGACTGTAACTCAAGATCAGCCAGCAGTGCTAGACTGAGAGATATGGGAAGGAGCAAATGCTTCCCTGATCTCTCTGAACACACCATCACTATGTTGATCAACCCAGATGTTCTCTTAACTAGTTTGAGGTTTTTTTTTTTTAATATATTTATATATATATTATGGAGGCTTATTGATCAAATCACTTACCATTGATGATTGATTCATTCTCTCATTCCTCTGCTTTCTGTGGAAGTCAGGGTAGTGGGACTGAAAATTCTAACACTGAGATAATCAGTCTCTCCTCTTAAGGGCTTTCAGAACATCATTTTACAAATGAGAACATGAAGGTAGATAAGCTAATTGAATAAGGTAACACAATGGTGGTGGAGTCTGGATTTAAAAACAAACTGGTTGATAGTTCGTGTTGCCTGCCACTTACCATGATCATAAAGATCACAGAAAAGACTTGCATAGGGAGGTTCTTTTGACAAGAACTTCATCATTGATCAAATATGGAGAATAATAACCTTAACATTAAACCAATTATAGTTGTATCCTCTATGACAAGAGTTTCTTTGAAAATATATCAGTTGACATTATTTTATATTGTTTTTCCTTCTGTCTACAAAAGTTCCTGGTTTCGAGAAATACTATTCCTCTCACCCTGAAAAGAAACATTAGAAGATACATTAAAAATGTTAAATAGCCTGATGTAAGCTTAGTCAGTTCACTAGTTTGGGATTTGGGGCATGTCATTTGACTCCTGATTTGGTTTTCTAAAAAGGTTTTATTAGCTAGTGGGCAGCAGCTAAAATCCCCTTCAAGTAGGGTATTGTACTTTCATTAGAAGCACAATATTTTTCATGACATTCAGTGATATTTGAGGATTTTTTTTTAATTCTAAAATAGTATTATATTACAGATGAATCTGGAACAAGTAATGTTTTCCTCCAGGATCTAACTAGAAATATCTTTACATTTTGTCAAAAGCACTTCTGTGTGTGTGTGTGTGTGTGTGTGTATACATATATATTATACACACATATATACATTATATAGACATAGATTCATTCTCTAAAAATGATGAAAATAATTTAATTTGCATGGTAGTCATTTTTTAGCAAAGAAAAACATTTGTGTATTATGACAATTATGCCTCACTTATGGGAAAAGAAATTTGAGGCAATCATTATTTCTCATAGTTACTATGCCTGAAAAGAAATTTAAATAAAATATGTTGGACATATTTTGTCATTGTCCAGCTTCATCATCATGAGAATTGGCCTTCCCTTGGAGAAAAATTCAGCTTTTAAACCTTGGTTGTTTACTGACATTCACATTATCATCACAAAATCTTGCCCAATACTGCATGTCCTCATGAGAACTGACATTTATTGTGATCTACCTGAGAAATTTAGACAGTTACACAAATCTGAAGGTACATTAATACTGATGGTTAAATGCTTTCCTAATGATTTGTAGATGTTGTGAACACTACTTGTTGCTTTTCCCAGTCCCCTGCTCTATTGAAATGTAACAGTTTTTTTTTGTACTTTTTTTTTCATCAGAACTGTCAGGGGCAGTAGCATACTTTTGCATATGCATCAGTTTGACTTTAGTGCAGATTTTTGTTCACACTGAACTCCTACTGATGTTCACTGATTTAAGGTCTTCAAATAAAACTTAATTTTATATAGCTTATAAGTAGCCCCTAGAGGGTATTGGATCCTAAAAGCTAATATTTTTCATACATAATCAGCAGGAATAGGTAATGTATTACCATTGGCAATATTAGCAGCAACTATAACAAAAAGAAACAGTAAACATAAATGCTCTTAACTTCATATTTTATAACAATATTAATATACAATTATACAAATTAGTTGCCGTTTAACATTAGTCAACATGTTTATTCATAATGATTGTTTCATATTTAAAGAACACCAAAATATTGTGTTTTGTCAGCCAAGGAGAATAATAGTTTAATAGTAATTTATTTTAAACAGCTACTGATAATACAACCAATCAACACATTAAGTGGTGCCAACATTGGCATCTTGCTAAATAATCTCTAGACATTGCACAGAGAGTACATCTTTCAAAGATAAGTCAACAAGAGCAATCAGAGCAGAAAATTAGAATTTGGTATCTTAGAATTAAAATACAGCTAAACTAAAGTTTTAATTGGGGTGATCTAAAAGGGCACTTGATGTAATGATCTCTTTCATTTGTTACTAATTGTTTGTTCCTGATGAAGAAGAAACATACACAGGAATGTTGCTGAATTAAGTTAAGATGGCAGTTTCCTTACCAGCTATGCTTTACTGTTAAAAAACAAAAGAGTGGGGAGGGGTGGTGTCCTATAGAAATCTTCCAACTTGTTTTCTATCTCAAGAAATAACTAGGAAATTCAGGGACTGGTATAACAAATATAAAATAGTTTAGATGTGCTTGAAAAGAGAATAACAATGTCTCAAGACATGCTATCTTCATGGAGTGAACTAAAGGGATTTAGCTACGGGTTCTAAATCAAGCTGGGGTTGAAATTTCTGCCCTAAGCTTCTGATGTTGCCTTTTCCAATGGAGTCACATACAAAAACATAATGACCAATGGCACCAACTTCCACCTCCTTATAATTTCACTGAAAAATCCCATCTCATATCCACTTGTTACAAGAGTTTTATGAAGCATTTTCTACTTTTAAATAACATTTTGTGGTTGCTGAGTTAATATTGACAGAAATTTTAGATCTAATATTTATGGATATCATATTAATATCCTAAAGTACCTCAGAAGTTATGCTTTTTATATATTATGTAACAAACTGTTTTCTGGATTTTGTGTGTTCTTATCTCATTTAAAAATATGAGCGTATTACTAATTTTAATTAATATGAAAATTATATTCAAAGTATCAAATTACATATAAAATCAAATTATATGAAAAGGATTCCATTCAGTTGTATAATTAAATACATTGCTTTTACTATAGATATTGAATGCTATAAATAGTCCCTCCAAAGTCACTCTGTATTTCTCATAACCATTTGATTGTCTCCAAAATATATGCTCTTTGGTCACTAAGTTTTAGACCTCTTAAATATATTTCTCACGTAATATATACAAATATAAATTTTATTTGTAATTTTTTTTTATGTTTCATATAAATTATAAATATTCTCTGGGATATAGTTTCAAATGAGCAAAAGTGCTCCTGCTTTAGGGCCCTTACCCTTTTAGTCGAGGCACAACATAAAGCAGGAAACAAATAAATATATGGTATTCGCTGAAGTCAACACCATGCTGTATTCTCTGAAGTCAATACCATGGTGAGTTTGGGGAATTCTACTAGATGGTGTGGTCAGATAAGGCTTTTCTTGAGTGGCTCCTGAGTTAAGATGCAGGTCATGAACCACATAACAATCTTGAAGAAAACATCCAAGAGAGCAACCAACCCTGATGCAGAGACAAATTGATGCCTTGTGAAAGGTAAAGAAGACCATTGCATCTAATTTAACTTAGGTAAGGAGTGGTGACAATGAGCTCCAACATATGTGGGTAAACCCAGGAACAGTTGGGGTCACATAAACCATATCATTAGTTATTTATAGGAGAGTTTCAAACTATTTTTTTTTCAGTTCTTGTTTTTTAGGTATGCCTATGTGCTTCTTTCATTTAGCTTTAGACCTAGGTATTCTAGTTAGAGGCTCTTTAATCTGCATTCCATAAGTATTTGTCTTCCTAAAAGATTTCATTTGATTTAGAGGTTTTCCATTTTAGATCCTAGTGAGAACAGAGTGAATACACAACAAGAATGAAAGAATTTGATAAGTAGGTTATTTCCTTTTAAAATGCTTTTAAGTAATGAGTGAAATGTGCTTTGTACCAAAATATTACAATTCTGAATGCCTTCTTTGTACAGGGTCTCTTGAAAGTTGCCATAGATAATGCCAGAGCTCAAGAAAAACAGGTCCAACTGGAAAAAACAGAGCTGAAGATGGATTTTTTAAGGGAAAGAGAACTAAGGGAAACACTTGAGAAGCAGTTGGCTATGGAACAAAAGAATAGAGGTATTTTCAAATTTCCAAATAAGTTTAATGCTTTTTATAAAATATTCAACCCAATATTATGATTGGTAAGTTAAATGAGACTCTGGTTTTCTTTGTTAACTTACTTGTAACTAAAATTCAGAGCAGGATTTGAACCTGGGGCTCACTGAATTTCTTAATCTATAAAGTACATATTTTTTTTTCCATTAGTATGTCAGGAAATTGAAATATCTCTTATGCTTATAGAGATTAACAAATTCATAATTTTAAGATAAGAATGAACCCTGATGACAATCGTAAAGAAAATTTCTATATTTACTCACAGTTGTCCTTTGCAAAACTCAAGTAAAGCTAAGATAGAAAATAATGATTATTCAAATGAAAAAAATGTAGAGAGATATTTATCAACTGAAATTAAAGACTGATGAATATCTGAACAAATGACCAGAGTTGAGTGTTTGTATAACTTTATGAATGCCTCATTTTCATCCAACAAGGTCAAATACAAAGAATAAAAACTAATATAAATTTGTATTGGGTTAAAACTTATTTTATTTATCTATGAATTGTATCATTTAACATACTTCAAAAGTGCATGTACAGGTGATTTTGAAGGTCATTGATATTTGTATGTTTATTTTATGGATGAGATTGAAGAGTTTTTTTTTTTGTTTGTTTTTTAGAGCCAACTTCCCTCTTGACCTAACTATAAGATTCTCTTAATTATTCTGGAAGGGATAATTGTTTTCTCTCATTTTACTAGTATCAAATATAAACACCTCATATATTATCCTTTTGTTTGACATGACCATTAAAAATACGTTTCTGTTTTCTTTTTAAAACTGGCAGGACTCCCTAAGATTTTCATTAGTTACTAGAAGCAACAGTTAATAGATTCCGTAAGGAAATCAATTTGAGAAGTTGTCACCCCAGGTTTAGCACATAGTTCTAAATAATGCGAATTCATATAGATTCAGGTACTAATTTAATCAAAACAAGATAAACATTGATAGCAAAATGTGTTCTAAATGAATAAGGAAGTTTGGTCAGTTTATTACTGGTAACCAACTTCCATGAAATAGTCGTGCCTTGATTTTTTTTTTTTAATCACTTAGAGAATCCTCTTTTTGGACAAGAGGATTTTGCAGGCAAACCGTTGAATTCCTAATGCAACCCTTTAGTTCCTTGAGAGAACTTCAGAATTGTTTAAATTCAAACCTGTTGCAGGATTTATGGTCTCTTATTCTTTCAACCACTAGAGGGCAAAACATTTAACAGAGTGCACCTTGCTTGAGCCTCTCATTTAATTAATTGTGAAAACTAAAATGAAGGTAATAGCTGTCAATAATTATTTATTATGTATGTATCTGTTGAAGCAGTGTATTACCCTGAAGAGAAACATCGCAATCCCATTTGGTTCAATCACGCAGGAAGAAACAATTAGCAGTCAATGGCAAGACACTGGGTATTGAGCTTTTAGTGCAATAGTAATGCACAATCCAATTAAATAATTCAGAAATTACCGTTTTCTAAGACGCTTATAAACACTGTTTAGGACCAGGAGAAAGTAGACAAGTAATTTGATTAAGGTAATCATATGCTTTTCATACAACTAATCAAAGTCATTAGCCTTGATTTGAAACTAGTTTTAATGTTTTTTCTTCTAAGACTAGAGCCAATATACATTTTGATAATAATAGAACAGTATATATTTTGTTAATATATAATTTCAGCCACAATAACACAACACTTAATGGATGTTCTCAAAACAGCATTAATAATGGTAAAAAATAGGGTATGTAGAAATGAGAAACCGAAACTAAATTCTTATTTGAAAACTAGATTCTTAATGTATGTTTGAGTACATAGTGTATTAAATAAAAGTATTATACTTTAGTCTATAGTAAAATATCAAATGTAAACTTGGAATGATTATTCCTTATGACTAATGACCAAAAAGATTTCCTAATACTATTACTGTCATCAGTGTTTATAAAATATTGAAAAAAAACATATCAAAGAGAATTCCATGTATGTTGACCATGTGCTGGCTGTTTGATAAACTGTTATATTGTAAAAGTTAAAATAGCTATCATACTGAAAGTGCACACTATGTAGCTAACATACATCTGTGAAAACACTTGTTACAGTTATTATTTATTGTTTATGTATTAAGATTTAAATTTAATTGAAGAAATTATGTAGAAAGTATATCAAGATTTTGTATCACAATCTATTTTATATAACAGTATATTATTTCTAGTAGTATCGCATTACAATTAGCAATGAAATTTTATAAACTACCAAAATGCTGCAAAGTAAATATGTAATTTTCTTATAATATTATAAGGCACTTAAATTTTCTATGATGAAATTAGTGTCTTTGGGAAATTATAGTAGCTTCACCCAAAATTTTTTTCTGGTTATATTTGTTAATATTTTTTTCTCCTCATAAATAATAAACATTTTTGCATCTTCCAAACTTAAGAAATAATGTGAGTAACCTAATCAGAGGAACACTGTTTTGCAAAGCACTTACAGGAACAATTGTTCATTTGCTACGCAAACTCGGAGCCATATAAAGAGATAGGAAGTGTTCTTATAAAGATTTGCACTATTCAAACTACTTTGTACTGTTCTCACTGGATGGCACAGATTAAGCCACAAATTCATTTACTTAGGTCCCATTTATCTAGAAATATTTACATTTGCTAAAGTTATTTCTTATTAAATCTGTCTTTACATGTAACAATTAAAAGCATTCTTAGAACATTGGAAGCTAAACAAAAATTGGCCTCCTTGAACATTTTGCTGGAATTTCAAAATGCAATGTTTTAGAATCTTCTTCTGTACAGGAAGGCTTTATCCATAAGGGAAAAAATATATAAACAAAAAATAGACCATGTGTAAGTTTGGACATTATGAAAAAACTTCTAACATGCATACACTCTTTTCTAGCCATTGTTCAAAAGAGACTAAAGAAAGAGAAAAAGGCAAAGAGAAAATTGCAGGAAGCCCTTGAATTTGAGACAAAACGGCGTGAGCAAGCAGAACAAACACTAAAACAGGCAGCGTCAACAGATAGTCTACGGGTCCTAAATGGTAAGAAAGTACACCTTTATGCACGAGTAACTAAATTTCATTTTATAACTCAAAAGACATGTTTGTGGCTTTGTATATTTCCTTGTCTTGTGATTTGTTAAACAGCTTGTAGCTGAAAACATGGTAGAATACTCACTGGTGTTGGGAGAGAGCTTTATTTCATAGGTGCTAACACCTTTTTTGTTACTTAACTCCAGGATCTGGGCCTGTCATGGCTTGTCTGTTTAACCAATCCTGTGTCTAATAAAATGTAACGAAACACTAATCTCTGAACTTCACTATATTATAAAAGCCACTTTTGTAATCATTTTTTGTTACTTACATATCATTCAAATCTTTTGACCATGCTTTTGGTGATGGTCTTTGTTCAACCTTTGCAAGTTGACAAAGATTTATGTAATTTTAATTCAGCACTAACGTAACAGGTCGCTCTTTTTTTAAAGGACAATAGGAATCAAATGAAATATGTGTCACTCTTACCTTTCTCTGCTTTTAGACTCTCTGACCCCAGAGATAGAAGCTGACCGCAGTGGCGGCAGAACAGATGCTGAAAGGACAATACAAGGTAGGAATTTGCAAAAGGCTATAAATCTAGATGTTGCTATATGAGTTTTTCCTCAGCTTTAGCCTGCTATTCAAGCATGTAGCCTACCATCTGGGCCACATCAAAACAAGTTCAAACAAGGTCAAGTTCATCTTGCTTGTTTATATGAGTGAATTCATTTTGTGCTGATAGATTTTCTTTAAATTAACAGGTCATTTCTGTTTATACAATGCAATTAAAAAGGAATAATTAATTTTAAACAATGTATGATTTAATTTGGGGCATAGTAAATGTGTTTTATTGAATGCTTAAAGTACAATCTAATGCAGGAAGGGTTTAAAAGTTTTGCTCTCTGAATAACATCATAGCTTTAATCAAATAGGTACTTTCTTAGCATTTTAAAATTTCCTCTTCTCATTTTGTGACAGTCACTGCAGTAAAGTATATACCAAAATGGATGAGTTGAATGTGAACAGTACACACAGTACAAACATAGATTGTTTCACTCTATGGGGTTTTTCAAACATTTTCCATCTTGTTACATATATATTTCAATAACACATATATGCTGAGCAAAATCATACCTGAATAATAAAGGAAATTGTATTAAACTAAAAGAGCTCAATATGTATATTGTTCAGACCATGCCACTAGGAAATAACAAAATCTGAAGGTGGCATGCAATCTAAATCTATTCTAGACTGCAAACTCAATCTAATAATGTGAATACTAAACTGTAAAAAAGCATTTGTTTTCTATTTTAAATGAAGATTATTCTTCAAAGGAAAACCTAAAATGATTAACTGCTATAATCCTTCCAGTTGCTTTTATTTTGCATTCTATGTTTAATCATTTTTGGTATATTGTTTGACATTAATTATGTAACTTATCAGCTCCAAAAGTGTCGTTCTTAATGTAAAGGACATACAACTTGGTAAATTATCATGTACAATAAATTTAAAAAGTCAAAAACAGGAGGAAACAATCCTCAAAAAAGAATATTATATATTTTTTGCCCTCTATTTATTTTACCTGAGACCAAGGTAAAATTATTTTTTTTTTAACTTTTAAGGCTTGAATCATATATACTACATGACATTGCCATGGATATGCCAATATAATACAATTGTAGGTATAGAGAAAACTTTGCATTTTAAAGCATTGTAGATTTTAGCAAAAAATTTTTTTGTGTATATTATTGCTAAAATCATAGGGTTTGTGCTACATGCCTTTAAAAAAAATGCTTGCGGTAACACTAAATAACTTACAACAAAGTCAGACTCCTTTATCAGGTACAATATTGTCAATAAATTCAATATAAGGATCACCTCTGATTTGGGTGTACATATACTAACTTAGCTGATGTGCAAATTGGTCTAAGAAACCACATGAGTCTCTGTGTAGATGTGATATATAAATTCTATGTGATCCACAGAATAAGCAAGGTACTCCGAATTCAATTTAAGAAAAATTATTGAGAATCTGTCCCTGCACATAAATAGATGTCATTAATATCAAGAATTGATCAGGTAATGATCCAGCAGTTTTTGCATAGTTGACATATACTTTATGCTCCGCTATCAATAATATTTTAACAATAAAGCTACAGATGTTTTTATTTAAATTTTTTAAATTCATATATCTTCAAGTATATACTTTAATATGGAAAAGCCTTGCTTCATAAGTTAAAATATTGACATCTCTCAATTTCTATTAGGATTTCTTATTCTGAGAAAAAGAAATTAGATTTAAAAAAAATGCCAGAATGCTATTCCTGGGACAACATAGAAAACTCATTCAGATAATTTTATAATTAAGGAAACAAAACACTTGAGTAACAATTATACATAGTAGTTTAAAGTCAAGTATAAATTATAGTGGGGTTGTTTATGCACTGGTTTAATTCATTCATCACTCATTCAGTCTATCAATTAAAAATATGTTCCTCAAATCTAGATTGAATGATCAGCTAATAACTTACTTCTTGCATATACTTTCATTGATTTTATATTGTCTAAAATAGACAATTTTGAATAATATCACTTCACTAATATTCATGATTTTCATTAGATAATGTGTGTTTTTATTGTTGTTGTTGTTATTGTTGTTGGTTTGTTTCTACAAAGGTAACTTTAAATGGCACTACAGATGCATCTGTACACTAGTTGCTAAAAAGATGTCTGTTTCACCAGCAGTTGAACAACCCAAGATTTCAAAAGCAGATCATATTTTGCTACTTTATTTTATTATTTTTTAAAATTTATTGATTTATGCACATAAGAACTAGGATACAGGTCAGAGGTACAAGGGTGAGGGAATTCACCAGACAGCTGGAGAGATTGGGTAGATTGAGGGGAGCAGTGGGCAGATCACGCAAGGGCTATCACGCCATGTGGTTCACCTCTCTTGCTGGGAATGGAACTTGTACTACAATGGCTGTGCTTTAACCCTTTGCGCCACCTGGGAGGGCACCGCACTTTTCCACTTGACCTCAGTTAGTTTTTGAAGCTTTTCTTTTTAAAACCTTCGCGTCCATTAAAACATTTGGAAGCTCATAAACATAACACAATTCATAAAGAAAAAAATTCCTCCATAAAATGCCGAGTCTAGGACCCTTCCTGATGGCGCAGTGGGTTGAAGCACAGCACTAAGAAGCTAAACACATCAGCATGAGTTCCATCCTCACCTGCCCCAGAGGTGACCCACATGGAGCTGCGGACCTCTCCTGACCCGCCTGCTGCTCCCCTCAGCAGTGTACTTCCTTTATCCGCCTGTTCTGCTTCCAGCTCTGTCTGATGAATCCTCTCACTGCCCCTGAACCTCTGGCCTTTACCCCAGTTCTGTATGCATAAATAAATAAATCTTTAAAAAAAGTACCGAGTCTAAGCATAAAGATGGGAGAGGTAAAGGAGAAAGAATCAGCACTCATTTGGGGAGTCATGAATCCCCGCTGCTTCACAACTCAAGAATGATCAGTCACAACCTTTCACTGTCTTGGTGTTCCCAAGCCCCAGTGTCATGACAAACTGTACTTTCCCTTACTCCTAATCCAGCCTTAGCTGAAACTATTCTTTATTCCAAAATAAACTAAATAGAAAGGGAAAGGACATCCACATTTCTTTATGCTCACCAGTACTTATATTTAATGTTTGGACTGTCATAAATACCATGGTGGTCCAAGAGCCAGTCACTTAGCAGTCAGCATTTAAATTGTTCTCTAGTGCCAAGTAATTATGCCCAAATAAGCACTTCAGATTAGATTAAATATTGTTCCATATTGATTTGTTCTACCATTTCTGTAAAACGACAGAGGAAGGAAGAAACAAGAAAGCAGTTTAGAATATATTCCTGGAGAGCAAATTAATATTGAAAATTCTTTGTGATTTTCATTGCTAGCATTTATGGCAATTAACTCAAAAATCATGAGTTTTATGGCAATATTAGGAACAGATTAAAAAATGAAAATTAAAAACAACTTGTTTCAGGAATTGAATTGTATGGTGATTATCTCTCATACCTTTAATCTTACTGATTTATATGTCATGTTTGGCTAGAGTTTGGAAAATTTATCTTTTAAGCTTTTTGTAATAACTTTTCAATGTACAGAGTGTGAACAAATATGACTGAATAGCTTTTATGTCTAGTCAATAAATACCCTTCAAGACCCACTCTGCAGACATGTAAGTGTATTTCCACACACTGTTTACAGCCAAATGCCATTATTGTGGATTTTTCAGCTGAGTTCTAGTCTCTTTATTCACTGTCCCAGGGCAAAGACATACACCCAGGTGGTTTATTTAACTACTATGTTTTGACAATTAACAAAATGGTCTCCAGCTCAGGTAGACATCTCTTAAGAGCTCCAGATACGACTAGCTTTTGTTTGATTGCCTCACGGGAACTCAGTGTCCACTGCACAAATTCAAAAGGATCTTTCTCCCTTCTCAGCAAACCTGGTTTCTCTTGTGTTCTTTTCTTATGGTACCATCATTCATCCAGCAAAACTTGCCCCTTACTCTATAATAAGAGGAGAAAGGAGCTTGGCATTTTCTTCCCTCCACCTCCCCTCACAAATACATCTCTTCCTGTTCATGTTCACTCTCTGTGCTTTTCATTTGTTTGAAATTTCATCTTAGAATGTACTGAAGCACCTGCTACATCCAAGGATTACATCCTCCCTCTAGGTGTTCTTACCACAAATTTCTGTTCTACAAAATATTTGTAGTTCCTTGTTCAGTGTCTTCCTTTTTTTTTGGATGGAAGCTAAACAGAACATCAACCATATTTTTTCCCCAAGTATCTTCATGTTTGACACTTGCATATAAATGCATCAAATGTGCATTTTCACTGGTAGTGTGCTGCCTACTACATATTCCCTGAATGCAAGTGACAACCCACTGATGAATTACCACCTATCTACTTTTTGTATGTGTAAAACCCTATTCTGATGTTTCTCAGATTTTGGTTGGAGAGTCTTATGAGAGGAAATAAATGATAATATGATTCTATCTGGAAAGTCAGAATTATACATTCTGGTAATTTAATGTTCATAGCAAATAGCTGAATTAACAGGGTGTATTTATTCTTTGTACATTTCTATGTTCTTTTTTGCATTTTAACTTAAGATTCAATCTTTGAATGTTCTTTGGAATTCAATTTTTCATTTTAAATGTATTTGTCATTTAAACATAATGTAGTCATACTTCTTAAATATTTTCTTTTACTTTGGTTTAACACAAACCAACCTCATGCTTTTCTCTGATCTGTTTCTTATAATTTCAAATTATTGAATCTTCTCTGTATATTTTTTAAGTTGCATTAGAGGCATAAACTCTGTTATAGAAGAAATGTGGATTAGTGCTGGTGTTGTTGTCTTTCATAAAATTTCCAAAATACCTAATAATTCACTTTTAATGGGTAACTTTTTGCTTTTTCTTTCTAAGGGATAACCTATCCAAACCAAAAAGTTAATTGTTCAACCAATGGGATTGTAGACCATAGTTCTTCTGACATCTTATACA